GTCGGAGGAAACTGGGAGGAGTGAGGGGCAGCACGCTGGCGCCCCTCGACACAGGGGACACAGGCAGGGCCAGGGCCCGGAGGAAGGGGAGGGAGGGACCGGGGAAGACCAGACACAAGGACCCGCGAGGCCATGCCTCGGAGCCGAAGCAGAGAGGGGTGGCCAAGGCGGTGGTGCCAGAGGAGGGTCTCGTGAGACAGACGACGACACGAACAAGGGGCAGACTCAGGACCAGACCTGGACGCTGCAGCAAACACCTGACCAGACGAAGGGGCCCTACCAGACGCAGTACCTGGAGGAGAAGCAGTGGTCAGTGTGTACAGGCTCGATCCCGGCCGACGTGTAAACGTAGCCAGGTGGCGACCTGTATCCGCCTCCGTACAGTGGGTCACCCGCTGACGAGCAGGGGTGAACTGGTGGACACCTGCATCCTGGAGGTCAGCACCACTCACCAAGTTCGTCGAGAACGAGGGGAGGTAGAGACCAGTCAGGGTGCCAGAGGGGGCCGCCGGACACGGGAGGACAGTGGAGAAGCGAGACAGGACAGGCCCCCCAGAGGGGTCCGCCAGGGACACCGCAACCGGCCGACTCAGCGGCGTGAGAGTGGTGCGGTCCCTAAAGAAGGAGCGAGACGCTCCAGAGTCAAGGGTGAAGGTGTGAGAGGCCGAAGCCGACACAGTACCTGAGAGGGCGGACTCACCAGTACCTGAAAGCACAGACGCACTGGCACCTAGAGCAGCAGCTGCACTAGTACCTGACGCGGCAGTACCAATGCCCGGGTCGGGCGGGAAACACCGGTAACAGTCATCCTCATCACTACCAGTCACAGCATACATAGCAGAGAGAATAGCATCAAAATCAAGATCATAAATAGCTACACCAGCCCTAGACAGCTCTCCCCAGCGGGGGATCTCAGCGGCCTCCGGAAACTGCTGACGCCAGGCGTCGGTCAGGCGGCCAAAGCAGCGACGGGCTGTGTGGGCGCCTCCACACCTCTCCCCTGCACGGTCACCAGTGCGAAGAACGTAGGGGCAGGGACCAAGCGCACCACCGCGCTGACGCTGCAAGTACCACTCACGGAGCTGCTGAGGGCCGGGGACGGTGCGAGAGCGCTGCTGCTGCTGCGGCTGCTGCTGTGGCTGCTGCTGCTGCTGCTGCTGGCGCTGACCACCCCCAGAGCTGCTCCGCTGGGACGAGCCACTCCGACCCCCTCCTCCACCGCCACCCCCGCCTCCACCGCCACCCCCGTCGCCACCGCCACCTCCCCCACCAGGACCGTCGCTCCCACCGCTCCCACCGCCTCCTCCGCTACCACCTCCGCCGCCACCTCCGCCTCCACCGCCGCCACTACTACCTCCACTCCCGCCACCACCCCCCCCGCCACCCCCACTCCCCCCTCCACCCCCACCGCCTCCTCCACCGCCCCCTCTGGCTCCACCCGCTCCCTTGCCCCCCTTGCCCTTGCCAGTGCGGCGTCTGCCACTGGGGGCAGACGCCGCGCCGACCGACTCAAAACCAACGAGGTCGGCCGCAGCGGCAGAGGCGACAGAGGGCAGCAGGGGGGAGGGACCACACCCCTCAAAGATGGGGGTGCGAGGGTCACCCCGAGAGGCCCCTACAGCGACAATACTCTTCTCAGCCGCTAGCAGGGACTCCTCAAGGAGGTCGACAGTGAGAGTGGTGGGACAGACAGAGAGAAACTGGTCCCTAACGACACGAAGGGACTCAGGAAGACGGGTGACGAGAAAGTAGAGAGTGATGTACATGGGAGGAGGGTTCGCAGCGCGGAACTCAGCAGGAAGGGCAGCGCGGTAGCGGGTGTCACTAGCGCGGAGGTGGGTAACGAGGTCAGCGACAGTGGGAAAGGAAGCGAGGTCAGGGAAGAGAAACGGTAGCATGAGGCGGCTAAGGGTAGCGGAGGAAGGGGAGGAGTAGCGCGCAACTACAGCGTCGTACAAGGCCTGAGCGGTCTTGCACTGACTAAAGTGGGCACGCTCAGAGGAAGGGAGGTGGCGACGCACAGCAAGACGTGCAGCAGCATCGCGGGTCGCCCACTTGGAGCGAACGGCAGAGTCAGCATCAGCAGGCGGGGCAGGGACAGCGCCAGAGACAAAGTCAAAGAGAGAGACCTCATCTACCGCATCACACAGTAAGTACAGCTGCAGATCCTCGATCCAGACGGCAAAGTCAATGGCCCTCCCCTCAGCGTCAAAAGTGAGAACATTGGGGGTGGCCATAGCAGCAGCTGAAAGTCTCACCGGGATGGGAGAGTCGGGTAGGTCAGCAGCAGGCGGCTCGGGCTGCTCGTGCAGCTCAGGCGGCTCGGGCTGCTCAGGTACCGGGCGGCTCGGCTACTGCGGGGCGGCTCGGCTACTGCGGGGCGGCTCGACTGCTGCTGGGCGGCTCGGCTGCTGCTGGGCAGCTCGGCTGCTGCTGGGCGGCTCGGCTGCTGCTGGGCGGCTCGGCTGCTGCTAGGCGGCTCGGCTGCTGCTGGGCGGCTCGGCTGCTGCTGGGCGGCTCGGCTGCTGCTGGGCGGCTCGGCTGCAGTGCAGTGGCGGGGCCGGGACAAGGCCGGCGGTAGGGCCGGCGGTAGGGCCAAGTAGGAGCCGGCGGCGGGCCGAGTAGGAGGCCGGCGACGGGCCGAGTAGGAGGCCGGCGGCAGGGCCGTGTAGGAGGCCGGCGGCGGGCCGAGTAGGAGGCCGGCGGCGGGCCGAGTAGGAGGCCGGCGACGGGCCGAGTAGGAGGCCGGCGGCAGGGCCGTGTAGGAGGCCGGCGGCGGGCCGAGTAGGAGGCCGGCGGCGGGCCGAGTAGGAGCCGGGGCCGGGCCGTGTAGGAGGCCGGCGGCGGGCCGTGTAGGAGGCCGGCGGCGGAGCCGAGTAGGAGCCGGCGGCGGGGCCGTGTAGGAGGCCGGCGGCGGGCCGAGTAGGAGGCCGGCGGCGGGCCGTGTAGGAGGCCGGTGGCGGGCCGAGTAGGAGGCCGGCGGCGGGCCGTGTAGGAGGCCGGCGGCGGGGCGGAGAAGGAGGCCGGCGCGGGGCCGCGTAAGGGGCCGAGTAGGAGCCGGCGGCCCAGGGCCGCGTAAGGGGCCGGCTCGGAGCCGCGTAAGAGGCCGGCGCGGGGCCGCGTAGGAGCCGGCGGCGCAGGGCCGCGTAAGGGGCCAGCGCGGGGCCGCGTAAGGGGCAGGCGGCGGGGCCGCAGGGGAGAGGGCGACCCGAAGGGTCGCTAAAACAAAAAAGGGCGCGCCTCGGGGGCGCGCTTCGGTGGGCCCAAAAAAAAAATTCGGTCCTGGAGGGACCTAGCTCTATACCATGTAAAACTATGAGCAGAGGAATGAATTGACTAAGTCAGAGTTGGGTACAAATACAACCCTAGCAAACTGTACCCCATATGTGCTACCCCACTATAGCCTACAAACATGCATCAGCTATAATAATCTGACATGAGTTACGTGCAATGAGTTGGTTCATGGTGACTCGGTGTGGCTTCCCAAAATGTGGAGCTCGTAATGTTGAGTTACAAGTGGGGTTGGATGCGCGAAAATTATTTTAAAAAAAAAAAAAAAATATGGTGGGCAGCCCGACGCGACGTATCGTGTAGTTGTACCCGTATCACATTTTTTCCGTTTATACGTAAACGAATAAACGTGATACGCTACACCAACTGAACGTTTTTTCTAACATAGTTGCACAGCACAAGGCATATTCTGAAAAAAGAACCCCTCACGTGCTAGCCCTGTTAGTGATCGTTTTGCAGAAATCCCCGCAGCATGTGTGGATTTATGCTCATGTCATGTGCAGGAATCAGCAACGGTAGCAGCGTCAGCAATAGTGGCGGTGGCGACAGCAGCAGCAGCGAATCTTCTTCAGCAGGAGGTGGAGGTGGAGTGTCAGTGGGAGTCATCATTGGCATCGTTGTTGCTGCTGTGGTGATTCTCCTACTTCTTGTCGCCACTCTGGTTTACTTCAGACGCAAGTTACAGCCACAAGGTACGGAAACGAAGCAATCATAACGATACGTGAAAAGTAAGGTTTTCATTGCATGAACCTAGACATGAGCATGCTAGTGTGCAAGCCTAGTCATGCTCTACTCAACTGAAGTCGAGCCAAGATCAGCTGCAAAAAAATGCTTGGCTTGAAATGAGTGAGATTGACTCGCCACAAGCAGTTTGACTTTTGAACTTGGCCCACGAATTTGCTTTTTTCACAAGCTTACGTGCTGCTGTATGCCTTTTTCAACAGTGGATGTACCCTAAGGGACGTATAGCTGGACTACACAATTCAGGGGGCAACAGATGGTTTTAAGAAGTCAATGGTTTTAAGAAGTCAAGTATTAGGACTGCGAGTTCTTAGGGTCTCTCAGGGCTCTATATAAACCGAGCATACATATGGAGTCGTCAATTTTATGACCCGTGAAATTACATGCACGCTGGGTCTCAACGGCAATTCACGAAGCAAGTTGGGGCAAAGTTACGGGTGTGACCCGACTCTACGCAGCACGCAATGATTTGACAGAAGCCGGCCCGACTCGACCGGACTCGACTCGACCTGGCGACTTGATAATACAGCTCAAGCATGTTTCCTTGCACCCATGCTCCTCCTTTCACCTTTGACATTACTAGCAGGCTGGGGGAGCAGCCTGGCAGCCTCGCACTGCACGGAGTTCTCACTGGCGGAGGTCCTCAAGGCCACCAATGACTGGTCCCCCGACAACCAGCTGGGCTCGGGTGCCTTTGGCGATGTGTACAAGGGCGTGTTTCCCCGCGATGGCACCACCTTGTGGGCTGTCAAGCGCTCCAAGCTGATCGATGTGGGCTTTCAGAGGGAGGTCAGTGAGCCATGGTGGCGCATAGAAAGCCTTTTCTCACAAGCCTTTGCAGGCATGATATTGCAAGTCAGTTCCTCAATTCGTCAAGCTTGTTCTGCTATTTGTTCGAAGCTCTCCTTTGCAATCTGTTTTTCTTTGCTACTTGCTCTTTCTCTCTTGGCTACTCTCAGATCCAGCAGATGGCCGACAAGAACCATCCCAACATTGTGAAGCTCCTTGGTTTTGCGATCGGAGGAGACTTGAGGACACAGCCAGAGCAAGTTCTCATCTATGATTACGTGCCCAACGGCGATCTTAACAAATGGATCGGTCCAAGTACGTGTGCCTCTCCAATGTTATCTTTGATATTCCACTCATGCTCTGCCACTCATGCTGCGCCATTATATGCTCTGCCACTCATTTGGTGTGTCAATCGTATTGCGTAGCGTGACCTTGACTCTAAAGCAGCTTGCTCATCATGCGCTGTGCCACGCATATGCTGTGCCACGCATATGCTGTGCCACGCATCCTTGAGATGTAGTTTGCCTTTGGCCATTCTTGATCTGCCACTCATCCGATGCCACTCAACTCTGCCGCTCATCTGCTGTGCCAATCATCCTCTGGCACTTATTCCTTGCAGAGGCAGAGCGCCCTCTGACTCTGAAGCAGCGGCTGGACATTCTCAGCGGCATGGCACGGGGCTTCGAGTATCTCCATGGCTTTGGCATCGTGCATCGCGACATCAAGCCTGCCAACATCCTCATCACCGACAGCATGCAGGCAAGCTTTTGCTGCAGTGGATCTTTTTTGTGACAGAATAATATTTGTCTAATCGAGGCATGTTTGTGTTTTATATGTAGTATATTTTGGTCAAGCTACACATTCAAGTCTGAACAAGGTGTTGGTATACGACATTACACCTACTGTGGTTGAAAGTTTTGAACTTCATATCTCGTTTCATACAGCTACTAGATGTTCTATTCAACCTCACTCACGAACCCTTTTTCTTTCACTCCTTGCTCTGTTATAGATAGTGCCACAAGTGTCCAATTTTATGCACCATTCCCTATCCCTCATGCTACAATGCCACTCATCTGCGTCACCAGGCGAAAATTGCAGACTTTGGGCTGCTGAGGATGGGGGAGGGCACGACTGTGGGCACGACTCGCATCATGGGCACACCTGGCTATGTGGATCCGGTCTACTCCATCACATCCAAGGCCACTGCAGCCGGCGATGTGTACAGGTGATCATTGCGAAGGCCTTATGTGAGGCAGTGGTGTGTATAGGTGAGGCAGTGGTGTATATAGGTGAGCATGTTTTAGACATCTTGAAGAGCGTCGGCACGACGCATGTCATGGGCACACCGGGCTATGGGATCCTGTTTATTCCATCACATCAGCCACACTGCAGCCACTGATGTCTACAGGTGTTACTTTTTTAGACGTTTTGAAGTGTTTGGGCACGACGCGCATCATCATGTTTACTTATTCACGTCCAAGGCCACCACTGCCAGTGATGTCTATAGTGAAGCAGGATTTCTTTAGAAGGCCTCTCTGTGTGTGTAGTACATGAATCTGGGTATGCTGCGGTCGGGTGGCAAGACTCATCTAAAGTGCCTCTGCCTCTTCTGCCTCTGACTCATCTAAAGTGCCACTGGGTCTACATCCTATTCCAATCTTCCCGTGCCTCTGATCATACTCTGCCTCTGATCATACTCTGCCTCTGATCATACTCTGCCTCTGATCATCCTGTGCCTCTGCCTTTCAACCATTTTCTCAGCTTTTGAGTGCTCATGCTGGTGGTACTCACGGGACAGGCGCCACTCTTGGAGACTCATGGAAAGAGTCAGCAGATCACTCCTTGGGTGAACACCTTATCCCATGAGCTCAGCGTCTAGCACTTTGTTGTGATGGCATTGTCAGTGCCAGTACATGAACACCAATGCTGGTTCTTGCTAGTGGTCCTCACAGGGACGGCATACCATTTCATGGGTACGCACCACCTACCGTCTTTGTCGCAAAGGCTTTGAAATATTTTCCACACCTTCTTGATGACCTGTCTCATCTCACCTTCTTGATGACCTATCTCATCTCACCTTCTTGATGACCTGTCTCATCTCACCTTCTTGATGACCTGTCTCATCTCACCTTCTTGATGACCTGTCTCATCTCACCTTCTTGATGACCTGTCTTATCTCACCTTCTTGATGACCTGTCTCATCTCACCTTCTTGATGACCTGTCTCAACTCACCTTCTTGATGACCTGTCTCATCTCACCTTCTTGATGACCTATCTCATCTCACCTTCTTGATGACCTGTCTCATCTCACCTTCTTGATGATCTGTCTCATCTCACCTTCTCCAACACCCTCTACCCAATTCACTCCCTCAGGCATCTGAGTGCCTGTCCTCGGGAAACCTGGGAAGCCTCAAGGACCCCACCATGGACGCCCCTGCAGATGCTGTGCTGCGTGTGGCTCAGCTCGCCCTCTCCTGCACCGGAGAGCGCACTGCAGCCCGCCCAAGCATGGCACACATCGCCAACGAGCTGCAGGCCATCCGGGAGGAGTGGGTGGGGAAAGAGGAGCTGAGCGCGGCTGTGAAGGTGGATGCGGAGGTTCAGGAGATGAGGGATGTTGTCGGTGTGAGCAGCCTCAACACCGAACTTCAGATGATTGAAGACAATTTGGGCGGTTACGATAATTTAAAGTTCTGACAAGTGGAACTTTTACTCGTAGTGCTCGAGAATGTTTACGTTCTGCTGATATTGCTTTCCGTATAAGTATATTGTACATGCCTAGTGGGTTACCCTACAAAGAAGACACCAGGGTGCACTAGAGGGGCCGTTCTCTTCTGATTTGATATCGTTTAGCTCAGTATAAGCTGAGAGACCCCTCCGCCACCCCTTGTTTAACCGCATCCCTAGGAAAATGTGTTGGAAACAAGTAGCTTTAGCGCCTCTGTCGTGTCGAAGCACTAAGTTACAAGCGAAGCAAAACACACCGAATCATTGGCGAGTCAACCCTCGGAAGTTGAACAACCGCTAGAGGTTACGCGAAAGTCAAAGGTCCGCGACCTTTGACCTGACAAGTATAGCGCGACAGCAAGGACAAACAACAGACTCGTTATTGAGCAGTTGCCCGAGTCGTCACTGTATCGAACCGCAACAGCAACAGCAAAAACAGTTATTAGTTGTAACCCTTCATATTCCCTTGTACTCTTATTAAAGCTTGTATCTCTCTGTTTTAATCAATCTACTTTGCCCTCACATACCAGCGCAAGGTGGTTCACAGAATTCTCAATAAACGCTTCCGCTATTACATTGTCCTACTCAGAATTTAGTCCTGCAAAGATCCTATGGGCTTTTATCAGCCCAACATGGTATGAGAGCTATCAGGACAAATTTAACTACAATCAAGACCTCCACAACATCACAAGGCATGGCAACGCAAAAGGAGAGAAGCTCCTCTAACGACTCTCCCGGTACTACTCCTACTCCACCTCCTGCCTCTGGCCTACAGACAGAGCAAGGCACAGCAACAAGACCGTCAGCTGGGTCTACCAAAACTCCCGCAAATCAAGCTACGGGCTTCGACCCACATATGATGGAGAAATTCTTCTCCTTCATGTCCTTCTACGAACAACACCAGCAAGGGGCACCTGCGCAGTCAAACAACAGCAACAACAACAACGCAACACCGATGAGCCTCGACGGTTCATCCTACGCACGAGGAAATCAGCAACAACAACCTACCTTCGCCCTGTACGAACCTCAGCGCTGTTCCGTCAGCTTCATGCCGCGCCAGCAACCTTCATCTGAGCAAGAGAAGACATTGGATGCACTTCAAGTTCAGTCGCAGTTTGCACACGTCTTAAAACTGCAGACGTCAAGACCGTTCGATGGAAAGGACTTCTTTACCAGGTCATTCAAATTCGAGCTGATGATGGAAGGCGCGCAGATTCTTGGCTTTTTCGACGGGTCCCTTCCATACCCAACACACGGGACGCAATACGACAAGCAGCACTATACATATCAGTCCATGATGGCGTATACAATCCTACTGCGCAACGTCACACCGAACCAGCAGCAGAAGATTCGGTCTTACCGAGGATACAGGAACTCCGTTAAGCTCGCGTACAACCACATGAAGAACCTGTATTAGGCAACAAACAGCGTCAATCAGAGTCGGTTAATGGCACAACTAACAACATTGGAAATGAAACCGGGCGAAAAAGGGATGGCGTATATCAGCCGCTGTCACGAATTGCACGACAAACTCCTTCGATGCGGAGGGTCAATATCAGAAGACGCCTTCGTCACAGTCGTCATTGGCGGTCTTGGTCCTCATTGGCGCTCCACTCGCACCATACTCCGAGCTCACGGGAAGATCTCCAAAGACATGGACCTGCAAGAGGAGCGACACAAGAAGAAAACGTCGGTACCTGAATTTGCGTTTCACACTCAACGGCGCTACAACAACAACAACCGGCATCAACCAAAACCCGTACCTCCGTTCTGTCACCTCTGCAAGATTTCAGGGCACCCTCGCACACACTTCCCAAATCTACAGCAGTCAACACCGCCGCAACGCCAACTTCGTCCTTCAAGTAGTCAAGTGACGTCCACACAAGCGCTCCCCACGGGTCAACTGCAGTCCTCAACAACATCGTCAACGCAATCTGCACAAGGAACAAGAAACATCGTAAACTACATGGCAAGACTGACTAACTCCTGCATAACCGAGTCACCACCACACTGAGAAAGTTAGAACGAGAAAGAAATGACTATGAATGAAGTGAGTACAAATAGGAAACTCTAGTTGGGTTGTACCCCCAATGGGATACCCCACTATAGCCTACACAAATAAGTAAGCTATAATATTCTGACACACCCCCATAGGCAAAGTGGGGGAGAACAAGGGGTCACAAGACCAGTCAAGCAAAACAAAGCAAAGCTCAGGGTGGATCACAAAGTCACCACACATTCCGAGCACAAGTTCAAGGGCCACAAGGCCAGTTCACATGCAAGACCATATATAGAGATATACAAGAGTCAAGCAAGCAAGAGCAAGAGTATATATAGGTCGAGGTACAAGCAAGGTCAAGAAGTGAGCAAGTGAGGCAAGACAGGCACAAGATCCAACTGCGTGCAGCAACGCTGATGATCACAAGGCGCAAGTGCCTTGGTGAAGACATCAGCAGTGTTGGCCTCAGAGGCCACGTACGCAAGTCGCAACTGTCCACGCTGCTGTAGCTCACGAGCAAGAAAGTAGCGGAGAGCAATGTGCTTTGTCCTGTGCTCCAGTCGCTGCTCTCGACACAAGGCCAGCATGGCCTTGTTGTCTACGTACAGGACTGGAGGAGAACGAGGCGGCTCTCCAAGGTCGGTCAACAGGTAGGTGAGCCAGCGTAACTCCTGTGCAGCCATAGCCCCGGCGTAGATCTCAGCCTCACAACTGGAGCCGAGAACAGAAGACGAGCGGGTAGCCCGCCACGAAACAGAGCCGGAACCAAGGCTGAAGGTGTAACCCTGTGACGACCGCTGCGTAGCCTGGTCGTCAGCCCAAGAAGCGTCCGCGTGCCCAGTGAGGACCACTGGACTGCGCCCTCCAAGCACTAGCCCCATGCCCGACGTACTGCACAAGTAGCGCAACACCCTCTTCGCTGCAGCCATGTGCTCTGGTCGGTGTCTCCCAGGAGCAACATAGCGCGTAAGAATGCTAAGAGGGTATGCAAGGTCAGGTCGTGTGCAGGTCATCAGGTACATGAGGCAGCCAACAAGCTCTGCATACGGGCCACTCGACTCTACGGACTCATCCGAAGGCAGAGCTGAGAGCGAGTGGCGAGTAGGCAGAGGAGTGGCCTGAGGCGAGGAGTACGTGAAGCCAAAGCGCTGAAGGACCTGCTGCACCATGTGTGACTGAGTCAGGGTAATGGTGCGGCGTGCTCTGTCTCGGGTGATCTGTAAGCCAAGGTAGCTGCGCAGTTCACCCAGGTCAGTGCATGTGTGTCTCTTCTGCAGCTCGGACTTCACGTAGGCGAGTCCAGCAGTGTCAGCTGTGGCAAAGACCAAGTCGTCGACGTACACGAGGATGTAGAATGGCGGCAGAGAGGTGTCGGTGCGCAGAAACAGCGACGGGTCGGCAGTAGAAGGAGCAAACCCAAGTGCCGCCAGCGTAGTCTTCAGTGTGTCGTGCCACTCACGTGGCGCCTGGCGGAGACCGTAGACTAGACGCCGGAGACTCCACTGGGTACCAGGAGGGAAAGACCCAGTGAAGCCAGGTGGGCGACGCAGCCAGATCTCCTCGTGCAGGCTGCCGTGCAAGAAAGCTGTGCTGAAGTCGAGAGGGTGCAGCTCGTAGTCACGGTGAGCAGCTGCGGAGATAACTGTAGCAACGGGAGCTAGGCTACGGGCTAGACACGTGTGCTCGTGTGATCTCTGCGTTCTCTGTTCCTTAGTCGTTTTTCCTTGTACGCACACTACTTGCTAGTTCACGGGGAAAATTGGCAAGAGTTTTACTAGGAAAAGTTCGGAACAATGGGTACAATGAAGTTGGCAATGCAAGACTACATCAGAGCAAGCATTCAGGTCGGCCAACTGCCAGCGCAGCTTGGTCGACCGCGTTCCTGCACGACTTCGTCGACCGCGCTCCAGCAAGGCAAGGTCGACGGCGTGCCAACGTCGCAGGTTGACGGCGTGACAGCGTTGCTCATGCAGGACAGCAGTGCACCCTGCTTCGCAGTTGTGCGCAGATGATTGGCGCGCAGAGTCTTGTCACCTGCACAGCGCACACACCACGTCAACCTCGAGCTGACGACTGCCTCTGATCCGCCACGACGACCTCGGGATACCACCACCGAGGTCGGGCTCGCCAACTTCGCCTGGGCGACCGTCGCACTCCTCCGCAGCACTTCGTCACTCAGGTAACCTGGTCGACCAGGCAACCACGTCGACCAGCAGCTCCCGTACGTGCCCGTCGACCTCCCGAGTCGACGACCACCTCCACGTCGACCTCACCAGGTCGACGACACCATCGGTCGACCTCCTCCAGGTCGACATCCCCTCTGGTCGACCAGCTCCACGTCGACCAGCACTCCTGGTCGACCTGCTCCTCGTCGACCAGCACAGTCGTCGGCCGACCACCCACGTCGGCCACCCGAAGCTGGCGTCACGAAGTTGACGCCCCGCTACTCGACGCCCAACTGTTCGGCGTCCTGAGTCGAGGTCGACGTCGGCCCCTCCTTTCTCGACCACCAGGTCCAGTCGACCACTAGCAGGTCGACCAGCAGTCCGTTAGCCGACTGCCGAAGTCGGCTTCCCCAAGTTGACGTCACCAAGTTGACGTCCTCCGCAGGTCGACACCCAAGTCGACCTCCCTGAAGTCGGCGCCCGTGCAGTGGTCCCCCGTGCAGGTCGACCTCCTTGTCGACCAGCTCACCCACTGCTAGAGGTCGGCTGCTCCCCTCACACCCGACCACGAGGTCGGCTCCGCCCAAGCGAGGACGGGGCCAATACACAACTCCCGTTGACAGCAGCAACGTGCAGCAGTACCCGAAGGGTGGTCATCTTCGAGGTGGGGGAGAAGGTCTGAAAGTAGTCAACCCCCTGCCGCTGACTGAAGCCACGAGCCACGTAACGCGCCTTGAAGACAGGCGGAGAACCCGGCGGCCGCTTCACCCTGAAAATCCACATGCCACTGACGATGTTCGCCCCAG